TTCCACCTACATATGTCCACTTGATGAAGACCAGGTCCTGTGGAACTGGAGCCTCGCCCTGGCAGGGAACAACAATGGTCTCACCATACCAGGCAGTGACATTAGTCCCCCACGCTGCAAAACCAAGAGAAAGAAAGTTACAATCCTCACAACCTTAGAACAGCATGACAGGATGGAGGGCAGTCTCAGTTTCTCTGCCAAACATCACTTTGTGTGGAAGCTGCTGCTTGGTGGACACAAGGCCACACAACCTGACACGTAACACAGCGTTACAGGGGTTAGACTGGACACACACTCTGTGCACAAGCCTGAAGACAGACAACTGGGAACAGAACTGGGGCGGAATTCCCTTTTTCTACTGAATCACCTGAAGAAACATTAAAACCTCCACTCAATCGCAGCTATTTCTAACTACTCATTATGTGTGGGGCATAGGAGTGCAGCAGAAATGAGCGTAGTCATTGTTCAAGGTTTAACGGCTAATGATTTTGGTCGTTTTCAACTGAATGAATGTAAAGAGCATTGGATCAATCCAGTGGTGGGCCGTCAGAAAATATCTGAATCACAGACTGATGTTAATTATATTTTGTCCATGGAAACTTATTAAATATCTTTAACAAGTCAGGTCCAGCTTCAGGACTTCCTTTTGGATGGCTGTCAAATTGAAAACTAAACTCAGGGAACCAAATAGGATTTCAGATCTAAAAATGTACACTTCTTCTTCGTTGTGCATCGTTTAGGTAATGGAGCCTTATCTGGATAGCCAGCCTCCACCAGAGGTTCCAGGCCCTCAGCATACAGGAAGCCCCTCCAGTGCTGGGGCCGGGGCCCCAGGCAGCCACTGAGAGCACCTGCAGACCCTGTCTACCTGCCTACAGACAGGATCCAGACATCCTGCCCTGCTGCTATGGCAACAGTCAGGAGCCCTGATACTTTATGTGTTTCAGGATGTGCAGCAGCTCAGCCTGCTGCTGAAACCTGGGGCAGCTTTACCCGAGCTGGGCCAGCTCCAAACCAGCGGGGCCAAAGTGAGACATTCATGGGGGAAATAGAAGGCAAATGCATCTATATAGAAAAAAAAACATGGAAAAAATCTTTTAAATAAACAGTCAATTTCATCCATCTCCTCGTTAGTCCCTGCCTGTCAATGGTAGGCCGGGGTTCAACCCCTAAGGGGAGACACACATGGATGCATTCCACTCTGTAAGGGGCTTTGGATAAAAGCCTCTGCTAAGTACATAAAGAGAGAATGAAAGTACATAAATGGGGTATTTCATACAGGGACACAAGATATAGAAATGAAAGTTAAGGTACAAAAATAATTATTTTATGTGTTGGTTTCTTTATTGGACCATCTTTTTTGTTAATTCTGCCAGTTTCAGCAGCGCAAGGTCCTAACCCAACCTGGGTCACCGGGGTCACTCACATGAGCAGAACTCTGCCTGTGGGTCCCACATTGTGGTTTACAGGGACTCATGTCGACGTAATGAAACTCTTTCACCCTCCGTGTGACTCATGTGAGAGTCCCTGGGTGGAATGCAAAGCATGGCGGCACTTCCTGCTCAGTCACAGGTGGGTGTGTGAGATCTGTGTGGGGCTTTCAGGGACTGGCTGGGGTTTTGGAGTGGTCAGGGGTGAAATACCTAGAAGCAGACATTTGTAGCACAGCTGACAACTCGTTCATCTTTCTCAGAATCACTGCTGTGTCATCTGTTGTTGACCACTTGTTGCTCTTCTTTTTAGCAGCCCACAGCCTGTGTGTTTTCCTGTGGGACTCATGCAGCATCAGGGGACCTGTCTGTGGGGAACCGAGACCCGGCCCCCAGCAGAGCAGCACACCGGGGGCGGACCCATGAGAGCGGCCTGTAGCTGGGGCTGTTCTGGTGGGAACAGGAGAGCACAGCTCCTGCACCCCTCTTTAGACGGGACTGGCTCCCTGAGCTGCTGCTGGCCGGCCAAACACAGGCCGGCCAAACACAGGCCGGCCAAACACAGGCCGGCCAAACACAGGTCAAACACAGGCCGGCCAAACACAGGCCGGCCAAACACAGGCCGGCCAAACACAGGTCAAACACAGGCCGGCTCTCCCTGACCTCTGCCTCAGCTCTTCATTTCACAGCTGCTGTGTACTCAGCCTAAAGGCAGTTCCCAACAGCAGCAGAGAACCTCTATGCTTTACCTCACACCTGTCTGGGCTCAGAATGTCCCACTGCCCACTCACAGTGAAGCACATCTGACCAAAACCCAGCAGCCCCTCCAGGACCAGGCTTACACACCCAGAACTGGTCCTCAGTAGAACACGGATGGGTGGGGGGGTGCCAGCTCTCCTGTGGACTAGCTTTGGTGTCATCCTTAGCCCGGGTTCAATCTCACGTCTAAACCACCGGACAGGGGACCGTGACCCAGACCGGCTCTACCTGCCCCTCATGTCCACATGCTTTTGTCTCTGAGGTGCCAAGTCAAAGAAGAGCCAAAAACTATGTGGACAAGACGTTAACTAAGGGGAAGCAGTCTCTGGGGTTGTTTCCAGCCTCTGTTACAGACAGCTCAGCAGCACAAAGCTAACAAAAGGTGACGCTAAAGGAAAGAGCCGAACAGGAAGACGAAGCAGGTTTAATACTTTAAATGACCTTTCCATTTTGAGACACTTCTTTTTGGCTTCTATCTATCCTCTAAAGCTTCCCGCCTGGCTCCGGCCCGGGACGTTGTGGGACTCAGGCGGACAGAACTCGGAAGGCACCTGCGGTGGACAGGTGTCGGTACCGGACCTCGGCCGGGCTTACCTCCGCCCAGAGTCCCGCTCAGAGTCCCGCTCAGCGCCGCCAGCAGCAGGAGGGCCCGGTCCATGGCTCCAGCTCTGCTCTCCGTCCGCCGGTCGACAGCTTCCGAAATGGGCGAGCTGGGGCTCGTACAATTCTAAGAAACCTTAAAAGGAGAAACGGAAAGTCCACAGCCTCCCAGGTCCTGTAAGGGGAACCCCCGCCTCCAGGCCCCCGCTGCGCAGCCGCGGGCCGAAACCGAAAGCAGGAACTGTGGCCCGGGCCAAGCCCCGGACAGCAGCCCG